ATGTCTTTTAGTTAAAAAAAAAAAAAGAAATCACACTAGGATCACAAATATCCAATGCTATAAAATACTATTTATTACTAAGTAATGTAGTTACTGCTTGTTCAAAATTTCAACAAACTGCTCGTCAATTATTAATTACTTCTGTGGATTACTTTAGTAATGATTTAAAGGTTGGGGTTGAACATGTATATTGTGGATACAATGTTTTTCTTTAATTATCATAGTTTTATCAGTAGTTTCCATATACTGTGGGGTCACACACACACACCCATACACACACACACACACCCATACACACCCATACACCCACACACACACACACACCCATACACCCACAGACACGCGCTCCTTGTAATATTCCTCATCTCTGAATTGACTCCTTAGAGCTGAACTGTCAAGCCGTGATAAAAGATCTGAGATAAGTATCCGGAATACGTTGCCCTTTAATGAATATAATCCTCATGGAATGGGCTCCTTGATTAACAAAGCCATTGATATTACTGAGGTCATTGCATATTGGCACCTAAAGTGTTTCACTGCTACGGAAAATGGAAAGCAAATACTGGAATACTGTTTTCTATCACAATGAAGAAGCCGCCCATTACAAGTCATTTTATGTACGTTTTATATGTATGTGAATTTTAGACCCACAGCATGAAAATTGTACTTCAGTTCAGGTCTGTTAGTGCCGACAATGTGTTTCAGCACCACGGACAGCAGATACAGCAGTAAGTGGTATTCTCTTCTGTAGAAAATCGTTAGTCTAAAACAGCATTACTCAACCTTTTTACCACAGAAGAACCCTTGAAGTAACTTTTAGGTCTCGGGGAACCCCTGCTAAAATGAATACTTGGGGGTCAGTAGGAAGAATATTCCTTGCATTGGTGGTTGGTAAGAAGAATATCCCTCCCTTGCATAGGTAATCAGTTGAAGAATGCTCCTAGCATTGGTGGATAGTGTGAGGAATGCTCCTAATGTTGGTGGTCAGTGGGAGTAATGCCCCTTACATTGTAGATTACTTTTATATTGATTAACCTTTACATTGGTGGACAATGGGAAAAATCCCCCTTACATAGGTAGTCAGAGGATGAATGCTCCTAGCGTTGGTGATCAGTGGGAAGAATGCTCCTTACATTGGTGGTCAGTGGGAAGAATTATCCTTACATTGGTGATCAGTAGGAAGAATGCCCCCTACATTGGTGGTCAGTGGGAAGAATGCTCCTTACGTTGGTGGTCAGTGAGAAGAATGTTCCTTACATTGATGGTCAGTGGAAAGAATGTCCCTTACATTGGTGGTCACTGGGAAGAATGTCTTTTATATTGAATATCAGTGGGAAGAATGCTCCCTACATTGGTGGTCAGTGGGAAGAATGTCCCTTCCATTGGTGGTCAGGGGGAAGAATGCCTCTTACATTGGTGGTCAGTGGGAAGAATGTGCCTTACACTAGTGGTCAGTGGGTAGAATGCTCCTTATATTGGTGGTCAGTGAGAAAAATGCCCTTTACATTGGTGGACATTAGTGATCAATGAGAAGAAGGTCCATTACATTGATAGTCATTGGGAAGAATGCCCCTTATTTTGATGGTCAGTGGGAAGATTGCCCATTACAGTGGCAGTCAGAATGACACCCTTATAAAAAGCTAAAAAAAAAACATTGGGTTCTTGCCCCTGGTTCTGCCTGGTGGCATTGTATGCAGAATTATGCAGGCACCGGGGAGGTCAGCCATCCACAGCTCAAGGAACTCCTGGTAACCTCTGGAGGAATCCTAGGGTTCCACAGAACCCTGGTTGAGAATGGCCGTTCTACACTCTTTCACTCTTGAAGTAACCATAACACACCATAACACGTATGCATTACCAGACAATAGCTCTTGCACTATTTTTAATAATGCAATGCCATATACAGAGCATTTGCATCTCTGCATTGTGGCGCCCCATAGTACCACATAGCTCAAAGTAAATGTGCATTAGGGTACAGTTAAGGATGAATTGCAATGCACTGTAATGATCATATAGAGTGTGTTACTATGCATTAGGCTGGGCACATTATAACGCATATGAATTATGGTCAAACAAACCAGTAAATAAGACTTTCTACAGTAAGTTACACCTTAAAGATGAAAAGCTTACACTTGTTTAAAAAAATCTTCAAAAATCAAATCAAAGGATAGAATCTTGTGTATGTGGGGACATTGGTAGTAAATATCTGATGATCACATAGGGAATCATATCGGAAAAATCAACTCAAAGACAGCTGGCTGAACTGTGAGTGTCCAACTGTTGGTAAAGAACAAGTCCCCAGCCGATGGTTGGAAATTCGTGCCGGAACTTGTTGTCCCACCAGTAAAGAAAATCACTCAAACTGGCCATAGATATGATAAATTCAGTGCTGACATCGAATGTACAATCCTAAGTAGCAGGGCAGACTTAGGCAAGCTCTCCTCCCTTGCAGTACAGGGGTTCTCGGTTTGAGTCCCACCAGGGAATCTGTCTGTGTGGTATTTGACTGTTCTTGTCGTCTTCCCTCCAAAAATGTCTCTATATTCAAAGGTATCGCCCTACCCAACCAGTGCTGCAATGTATGTTATGTATGTGCGGATCGTAAGATAAGGTTTCACATTGTTTCTTTTTATTCTGTCCCCGGTGTCCTTTCTCCATGTTTTATTCCTAGCCCCTGTTAGCAGAATGCGATGAACCTCTTGGGGAACAAGCAACTCATTAATGCGACACATTGATCCCAGTGAAGTTTCTGTCACTAAGGGGTTATTCACATCAGATACTCAGCAATTAAAAGGCTGTAAAGTCAATTTGTTTCTTTATTGATTTAGTAAATACTGGAGCTCCGAAAGACCTGATGACCTCAAAAATAATATTATAAAGGAAATCACCATCTCCGTGGCGGTGCATAAATGCACAAGTCCCAACGCGGGTTATGGCTCACGTTACCGTGCGATGTAATAAGGCAGCCCATTTGTTATGCCAACGTGTGAAATAATATCTGCAATATGTTGTTTTTTTTTAAAGCAGTGCACCGCAATGCATGGTATATGATTTTCGGTGCACTACGGTGCATTGAGCATTATAGTTCAATTCATTGGGGTACCATTCACATTGAATAACACCACAACGCACCGCACATAGAGATGTGCCCTGCCATGCATTATGGTAATGTCGTTAACACGTGCATCTCAGCACGCATTGGCGCCATGGGAATTTATCCTAAAAGAGTTTAGAAGATGCATTTGCTAGGGGCTCCTAGAATGGATAGATAGATAGATAGATAGATAGATAGATAGATAGATAGAGACAGGGAGAGATATAGATAGATAGATAGATAGATAGATAGATAGATAGAGACAGAGAGATAGATAGATAGATAGATAGATAGATAGATAGATAGATAGATAGATAGATAGATAGATAGATAGATAGATACAGAGAGATAGATAGATAGATACAGAGAGATAGATAGATAGATAGATAGATAGATAGATAGATAGATAGATAGATAGATAGATAGATAGATAGATAGATGCTTTTATCCATGTAATAATTTGCCAGAACTGCTCTTTTTCCACTGTTCTTTACTCTGCAATTGTAGAATTTATTTTGAGAGCAGCAGCTGTAGCCTGGTCTTGTAGAACGTTGTTATTTCATTTTGTATCTGACCTTTTATGAAAATGTGATCATATAAAAGCTGAGCCATCCGAGGACATTAAAATCATCAGCTTGTATGTTCTGAAGGAAGCACAATACAAAAAAGATAAACGTGCCCTTTAAGTTCTGTGTGGTCGTGGGCTAAAATAAGTAAGTCTTTTCTTTTTTAAAGGATTATGTTTAGACTTAGGAACTCATTCCCATAACATGTTATTTTCTAGACTCTTCTCTAATAACACAATTGCCTTTCATGCCGCACACACTGACACATGTGAGAATATTATATATAATGATAGTATTGTTCACAGCTGTGACATGCCCCATCCAGCAATGTGAGAGATAATGACTGTACAATCTACAGTAAATACTAAGGTAGATGCAGTGACAGTTTCAGCTTTGGTGAAAAAAATAGATAGATAGATAGATAGATAGATAGATAGATAGATAGATAGATAGATAGATAGTACTGTTCTATACTATATAGTTATATAGTACTATACTCTTTATTTAATCCCCTTCAGACACAAAGGAACAGCAACAGTTTTGAGCATACAATGCTCTTTATCAAGCTGGATCCAAACTGTTACTTTGTATCAGGCGAGGACTAAATAAAGAATAGACGTGTGCTGCAACCATATGCTTTGGAATTCTATTTACTGGAGGTAAATACGCGGGTCATCCTCCTGTTGCATTGTCATAGAAAATTGCAAACATTGAGACTGCTGCTTCCAATAGACAGTATATCTCTGTCTTAAGGTATTTCCCTCTCTTTCCTATTGTCTATCTATCTATCTATCTATCTATCTATCTATCTATCTATCCTATCCTATCCATTCATACATGTCTGTACAGAGTAAGAAAGAAGAAGCAAGAGACAAAAAGCTATCTCTCCCTCTCTTTCCTTTTGTCAGTCTATCTATCTATCTATCTATCTATCTATTTATTTCTATCTATCTAGTTATCAATCTCTTTGTCTATCTTTCTATTGCTCGCTCTATCTATCTATCTATCTATCTATCTTTCTATCGCTCTGTCTATTTATCTTCTATCTTTCTATCTATCGAATATATCCATTCATACATGTCTGTATAGAGTATGGAAAAGGAAGCAAGAGACAGAAAGCTATCTCTCCCTCTCTCTTTGCTTTTGCCTATCTATCGATCGATCTATCTATATATCTATCTATCTATCTATCTATCTATCTATCTATCTATCTATCTATCTATCTATCTATATATCTGTGTTTCCATGTAATCCAATCCTACATGTCTGTACAGAGTAAAAAAGAAGAGACAGAAAGTTTCAGCCTAACTTTTCACATTTTGATGACCCGACCATCTTACCTGGATCTGGTCGCTGTACCACTCCGGCTCATCATTAAGTCCTATTTCTGCCGCAAACACTTGCGCCGAAACCAACATAATGACAGCAAAAGCTACGAGGATCTTCATTCTGTCTCCGCTCTCACAAAAGGACCCCTCGACCTGACACAAGTGGAAGGGTGACGCTTGAAGCCGAACAAGAGAAGCGACAATCTCTGCGAAGCAGCTTCAGAGTCAGAAGATGCAGCTTCTGCAAAAGAAGATAGGACGCGTCAATTCAGCAGCAAGAAAAGAATCCACAAGTAACACATAGATGAAAGGAAAAGAAAACATAACAGGGTTATTCACAAAAGGGTGAAGAATTTGGAGGAAACAGGAGAAGTGAACAATCTAGGACAAGATAGCTGAACTGGAAAGTGAGTTGAAGTGGAGAATTTCTACAAATCATCTATTTTGTCCTAGATTGTTCCCTTCTCCTTCCTTCTCCTTCACCCCTTTAGTGAATAACCCTGATAGTCTCAATCAAAAGCAACAAGACGTTTCAAAGCAGCAAGCTACAGAAATGTGGGAGCAGCTGGTTTTAGTGTAGTGTAGACATTTTTAAAGTTTGATGATCAGCAAGAAATGTCAATCAACGTCAGGAAAAAAAAAGATTAAAAAAGGAAACATATATAAAATGCAACTGGAGTTGTTGCTTTGATTGTTTTTGGTTGCTTTAATTTTGTCCTAGATTGTTCACTTCTCCAAACTCTTCACCCCTTTAGTGAATAACCCTGATAGTCTCAATCATAAGCAACAAGACGTTTCAAAGCAGCAAGCTACAGAAATTTGGTTTTAGTGTGGTGTAGACATTTTTAAAGTTTGATGATCAGCGAGAAACGTCAATCAACGGCATGAAAAATAAAAGATAAAAAGAAATTAAAAAAGGAAACGTATATAAAATGTAACTGCAGTTGTTGCTTTGATGTGTAAAAATGTTTATAGTTTAGCAAAATGTTGCAGCATGTGATCCACAGAAAGAAATAAAATAAAGTGATAAGATAAAAGTGAGATTAAATGATAAGGTGCAGGCTTTTGATACATCTATGATGTATCCTGAAATGAAGAAGCCAAGAACGAGATGTGATCACTTACTGTACTTGAGTGGGAAGATCGCTCGCAGCTCTCGCCTGCTCAGCTTGTGTGTTGCTGTTCCCTGCACTCCCGAGAGCTCAACTATATATAAAGAGAGGATGGGCAGGACTAAGGAACGTTCGTCTTCCAAAACCTAATTACCTAATTCCAACCAACTCTATTCACCATATGGGGGACAGTGTGACGTCTGCAAAGTGGATATTGCCTTATCAATATTCAATTAGACTTGGAGGCTTTCCCAAAAGAATTTTTTTTCTAAGCCTACCTCTTGTATTTTCTGTATGTATGCCCATACAGACGTAATTATGACACTTGCCCCCCCCCCCCCGCAGCTGACCCTCTGTTACAACTTGCAATTAGTCTACGGTGACGCCATTCGGGGCCGCGCACTTTAAATCGGTCTCCCAATGGCACAAAAAATGCGTTAGCGCTTTGTCACCCCGGCTAAATCATAAAAGAAAAGACGACAAGAGATGTGATCATAGGCAGGCGCAAGTCACGACCTGTTAATCACGGGTTATTTTTTGATACGGCGGTATTCGAAAATGAGAGCGATTCGTCAAGAGCCGTCAGCGGAACCAGGCTCAAGTGGGAGAGCAAGTCAAGTGTTACCCCTCACCCCCCGGGGTGCTGGATTAGTCATCACAAATGGAGGTGGTTGCAAGACAAACTGTCATCAGCAAGATTATCCTTTAAATCATGGACCAAATGAGAGCCGTCAAGTGATCAGCCTGTAAAAAGGGAAATCCTGTGAATTGTGTTACAATTGAAAGGGAAAGAGTTAAAATCGTATTAAACTCTCAAACTTTTTTTCAATAACGAATCCAGATCATACAAATATATATTGCTGAGCAAAGTATTTCTTTATATTTTTGCCCAAGGACCTACAGCCATCATCTTTCCAAACAGCTCCAACTCTCTCAGCTCAGCTTCCCTGAACTTCCTGTCCAGTACACGATCACAAGGGACAGAGCAAAGTCCAGGTGACTTTTATCTACTAGCTTGAAGAAGGAGGAGAGGGGAGCAGGGAACAATGGATTGCCTTGCTGTGTCTGTGTGTTTGTGGAGACACACACAGCTTACTAGCACACACAAGGGTTGCTCCATATACCTTGCAAGGGAAAGGAACCAACCTAAAACAGGATATCAGGGGACCAGCTGATTCTGCAGGAAGCTCAAACTTTTATACATCAAGGAGCAGCATCCATTGTAAGTGATTTCATCAGCATTTGAAATAGCTTAGAAACATTTTGACTTTAATATCACTTTAAATTTGCACATAGACGGCAATCAGCCCAGGGCTGGGTCCATAGATAAGTTCAAGATGCCTCAAATGGTGGTCTGTCCCTCTCTTTTCTTACATGCATGTTTAGGCTGATATATATTGGAAAGCAGCATTCTAAAGTAATATTAAAGTCAAAAGGTTTTTAAAGGAGAACTATGAGGTGAGCGCTTTTCACTCGCCTCATAGTTCTAGCCGACCTGTGACAATGAGACTTTCACAGGTCGGCACAGTAGATCGGGCACAGTAGATCGGGAGGTGAGCGAACACATACCGGCGTTCGCTCACCTCTCGATCCTGTCACTGCTCTCTGCCGTGACAGGGGAGGGGCTGGATTCCCCTCACCCTGCTCCGATCTGCCAGCGCTGACAGCGGAACAGACGGGGGAGGGGGCGGGTACAGCTGGCTCTGCCTCTAGATAGGCAGACCCAGCTGTCAGTCACGCAGCTGGGCGGATCCAGACATAATTGTCGGGATCTGCTTCAGCTGCGGCGTCTCAGTATACCGCGAGTGTCCGGTCCAGATCTTTGCAACCAATGACGGCAATAGCCTTTCTGCCCGCCTCAGGGGGCAGAAAGTCTAGGGACACCACTGAGCAGTAGACCCCTGTTAGAAGCAATCGGTTGCAGCTGCATGAATCAAGTCTCCACTAACTAGATCAAGGACCCCCCCCCCATGAGGAAAATGTAAAAAAGAATATTAATAAATGTAAAACATTCGTTTAGAGAAAAGTCTTCCAATTTATCCTCGGGTCACACCAAATATGTCAGATGTTCTGGGTGACATTTGTGTTAACTGCAAGCAAGTGCATTGTCATTCATAGTTTGAATGAATGTTAGTTCATCTTAACATATTTTTTTTTTTAATTGATGAAAGCTACTCTATTGGCCGCCTTCTGGACAAGTCGGGGGCTGCCCTTGAGGTCTCCTATATTCACTAAGTTGACCACCACATCTCTAATTCTCCCTGGCTCTATCCAAAGCTAAATATAATGTTTAGGTTGAAATTAGGCTTTTAAGAGAAATTTGAATGCATATTATTATTATTATTATTGTTGTTATTATTATATATTCTGCTTTTTATTTTTCAAAGGGATTTCGTGTTAATATTAATAGTCCCTCATGTCTCAGCCCTCTCTCACCGTCTTCTCATTTCTAAAAGGATATTTGTCAGAAACCTCGGCAATTAAACTGAGCATATTAAATATCTACATGTAGAGTTCGTCTTTAGTGAAAACGGCATTTCACACATTGAGTAGATCCCGAGGTAAAAGTATCTGAACTTATACGCTAATGTTGACTTTCCTGTGCAAGTCAAGCTTAGCCTTGCCCCCTCTTACCTTCTAAGCGTGCCTATTGGTCAGTGAGGACATTCATCACATTAAATGATGTACATGGAGGCTTGGGAGGTAAGAGGGCGCATGGCTAAGCTTGACTTTCACAGGAAAGTCAACATTAGCATATAACCTTAGATACTTTTAGCTCTGGATCTACTCAATGTTTTGAGAGGTGGTGGGGCTAAGGGCCATTTTCGCTGTAACTTACTTTCATCTATCTGTATCTGTGGAGATAATTTAATTATCATTTTGATATCTGTTTTTTTTATTAAAGGAAATCTCTTCCTAAGTATTTTTTATTACATACTCAGTCTGATATTTCCTAAACTTTTATTGACCTTGTTTTAAGGTCCCCAAAAGCCCTCTACTAACCTAGTAGAAAGCACAGCAAACCTTTCCTAAAATACAATGTATCTATATGCCTAACTTCCATCTCAAATCCCCAAAATAAAGCTCATTCCTCATTTTATGAAAGTGAGTGGGGTCATGCAAATCCCTTCTTTATGGTACCTTGGTCAACTCTGCATATAGTAGAGCAGGCTTGTTGGCCTTCATCAGTGCAATGTATGGAAACATGGAATGTTTCCATACATTGCATTGCATAAAAGTGACCATCTACATTGCATAAAAGTGACCATCTAAAACAGTCCCTTATTCACTTCAATGCAATTCTAAATTATAATATGAAACATTTAATTGAATTTGAACTCTGAAAATTCAGGTTGAATTTGAGTTTGACTTGGAATCAATTCTGAAAGCTATTATACATGCCAGCTGGAATGATTTATATGCCATAGCTGACCAGCCCAGACCAGTACTGGTAGACAACCCCCCACCCTCCATGACCATGCCTTCTGTCTTTATTCTGAATACCCTGAACAGCTGCTCTACATCCCTTAGTCTCCTTCGTACAAGCAGCCTGAGTATTTTGTGTAGCGAGCCACAGTTCTTCCTTCCACTTGTTGTAAAGGCCCCTGGAGGATTCGATGTAATAAATTACTGCTAAAATGGATTCTGGAAAGCTTTTACTGCTAAACTCTCCTTTTCCTTTCCTCGGAACAAAAAAAACGAATGAGAGAATGACAAACAGCTTCTCTAAGAAGTTAATGAACATCCAAGGGACATTAAAACCCATTAGAGAGAGATTTTCTATCATACTGTAAACTCCATTTTGGCTTTTAAAGGATCGGTCCACCCACAGCTGGTTTTTCAGAGTTTGAGAGATTCTGGAGAGTTAAACCACCTGACAGATTCTCCTGCCACTCGGGGACTCTATTGGTAAGATCTTTGCAGGTTCCCAGGTCTGCATACTTGCTGTTCCCATTATGAGGGGTATTTTTTTGTTGCGGAGAATGCAACAAAAAACAGTAGTCCTCTGGCACGCAAACCAAATGTGCCAAAGTGCGCCCCCTTCT